GTACAGGAGGAGATTGTCCCTTCCCCGGCAGAGCATCTGGTGGATTCAAACCGTGTGCCTCTGGAATTAGTTGCAGCTCCTTGCCACTAGGCCACCAGAGCTCCCCCAAATGTGTGTTTTTTAAAGCACTTGCTTTGGTGAGAGTGAACTGAGACTCAGTTCCCTGAACAAAGGGAAGAGTAGGGTATTTATCTAGTCTACATTGGCTGGTTGGGCGCAGTCACAGCAGTTTGCAAGGCCTGGGGCCATTTTCTAATATTTCAGCACTCCCTGTTTTGACTGTTACCATCTCCTGAGGTACCGGTGGTTGGAGTCATACAACCATGTTTAGAGGTAAACATTAATAAAATTATTTACTGTTTCCTGGAATACAGAAGCTGGATGGGGATAGCAAAATGCAATTGCTTTGGTTTCAACCTTATATTTCCACTTTAGAGAAAAAGGGGAAGCTACAATGATCTCTTCCAAAAGCTATTTCCTGCTGAAATGGGGCAGAGCCAGGAAAAGGGTCCTATGTCAAAAGGGCCTCAAGTGGAATTTGTTGATATTCAAAGATGGTTAACAGGGAGTGCTCCATTGTCTGGATTGTTAAGCCTTCAATTCTGCTATTTAAAAAATTGAGAAAAAAAATTTTAGGATACATGGTCCAAAAAGCATCACTTTCTGTCCACTAGGTGAGCTGATCTCTATGTTGATGTTATTGTTGTTATTATTATCCAAAAAGCTAGATAGGTCTTGGAGGTGAAAGCTGATTGCTTCTTGGAGGGAAGGATGATGAAGTTTTGTCTTGTATACATTGGGTATGTTGCTAGAAGAGGCTATTCCTTGGCTATGGACATCATGCTTGGAAATGTGGAGGGTCAGCAAAGGAGAAGACCCTCAACCAGGTGGGCTGATGCAGTGACGGCAGCAATGGGCTGGATAGCTTTGTGTTGGAATCCACTGATGATTTGACATTCAGAGCCGTTCTTCTCCAGGACTTATAAAAGCACTGATATAGATGTTTGCAAGTGAAATGGGGTGATACAGTGTCTCTGCATCCAGATACACCTCTGGGTCCAGCCTATGCATCCTTGCTTGGGTATTACGACCACGTTCCCAATTCCATTTCATCTCCATATTGTTCTGACCTGGCCCGAGGCCTCAACTCCATCCAACTCGCCCTTCAGCTGATGGTCCTCCAGACAGGAGCACACTGAAAGTGGTGCAAAGCAGAACCAACAGGCCTTTCTGCCCCTAGCTGGGTCACCTCCAGGCAGAACTCCAGGCTTTTCCTTTGCTACCCAAGTCCCGCAGAGGTAATCAGTCTGATTCCTATGCATACCATCGGGTGAAATCCATGTATGTAACCTGCACTTATGTCTCTTAAAAAACATTTGCAATGAATAAATCATTGATTGTGCAAAATTCAATCATCCTCTCACCAGCTCCATTTCTGTCACTGAGTCCATGTTTTCCAACTACTGAATCTTCTTCTCTGTTCCCAGCTTTTGCATTCCAGTCACCCATTATTATCAATGCATCTTGATTGCATGTTCGATCGATCTCCTACTGTAAAAGTTGGTAAAAATTTTCTATTTCCTCTTCCTTGGCTTTGGTTGTTGGTGCGTATATCTGAATGATAGTGGTATTCACTGGCCTTCTTTGCATGCGTATGGATATTATCCTGTCACTCACAATATTGTACTTCAAGATGGATCTAGCAATAGCTTTCTTAACTATGAAAGCAACTCCATTTTCCTCACCTTTTCATCTCCAGAGTAATATATCACATGATCATCTGACTCAAAATGACCCATGCCAGTCCATCTCATCTCACCAATACCTAGTATGTCAATAGTTATGCGTTCCATTTCTTCCTTAAGAATATTTAATTTTCCTACATTCATGGTTCTCACATTCCATGTCCCAATCACTAGTGTCTGCTTACAACTGTTCTATATTTGTTCCCATCCCAAAGAAGGGTGACCCAACAGAGTGTGGAAACTATAGAACAATCTCATTGATTTCACATGCAAGCAAGATTCTACTGAAGATTATTAAAAAAACGACTG